AAAAGCTTATGAGTTTGATAGTAATAAGTTTAGTCTGTTTTACAGAGAATGTCTACTGTTCAAGTCCTTATAAGCCAAAAAAAAAAAAAAAAAAAAAAAAAAAAAAAAAAAAAAATCTCATAGCTATAAATAAAAAGGAATATAAAGTAAAATTAAAAAAATAAATTGAAAAAAAAAAATGAGAATTCCCAGAAGAGAGGTAACATGTCACTAAAAACCAAACTAAAAACTCAGAACTTAATTTCTATCAGTTTTGCTAACAAACGTTGTGACCTGCTAATCTCTCAGCTCGGCAAAAGAGGCAGAATGCTCTCTAATCGCTATTACCTCCTCCTAAAATTAACTAAAAGTACAAACGACTGCCTAGTGGCCTAAAATCCAAAGAAGCCGCTACGTCCCCTGGCTCTCTCCTTCTCATATGCCTCGAACAACTGATATATGATCGTAACCGCAAGCAAAATCCCAGTTCCAGACCCGATTGCGCCCATGAAATCTGCCAACACTGTGAGGGCACCAATGCACATTCCACCGAAAGCAGCCGCTGTGGGAATGTACCTATTAAGTTCCTTCTGTAAGTTCGAATCTCGATGCCCGGGCATCACCAATTGTTGCTCCTGTCAAATAATGCAATATTTGTCCAGCAGTTAGCCAAAAAAAAAAAAACAAAAAAAAAAAGAAAACAAACCATAGCGGTTCATGATCACTATAAGAAAATGTTGCCTCGAATCCATTTTGCTCAGTTAATATGATCGAGTTCAGAATGTAGTGCGATTAGGAAAGCGAAAATATACCTTGAGCTGCTTAGCTACATCTCTGGCAGAAGAACCAGAGACTTCAATCCAAGTTCTTGAGAACAATGCACAGGCTGAGAGCATGAACACTAGATAGAACAGAGCATGGAAGGGGTTTGCGGCGACGTCGGCCAAGCTGCGGTTATCACATTGACAAAGGGAAATTCACAGAGTCAGTGCATCTAGCACAAGCTGAAACAGACCACTACATGAATAGAAAAACAAAGAAGACTTGAAAGATGAGCAAAGGAATGATTTATCACCTAGTTGGTGGACTGATATAGTAAGCGAGACCCCCTACTGGAATGAACTGACCGGCTGAGTACTCAGACTCCTTCCACTTCCCCAACAGATTCACAAAGAAATTTCCAGCGAAAAACCGGTAAAGCGACTGCATAGAAAAACAAAATCATATTACTTTCTCGGAGGAGTCACATGAATCTTTGAAAGGCTCCTGCAGAATTCTAACTCCAAGTACCTGAGAGATAAAATATAGATTAGAGACAAGGGCAGATTGGAGAATGATGGGCATGTTGGAGGTGTAGAAAAGCTTAATTGGATACGAGCCGTGCTGTCCACGGGTACCCTTTGATCTGACAGGCAAAGCCACGTGGAAACCTTGTAAGTAGATAGCGAGAAGGAATATTAAGGCCGTCGCAAGCAAATTGGTGATATTTGGAAGGTTATGCCGAAAGAAAGCCTCTTTGAGGCCACGGGCTTTGTCTTTCCTAAAAATCAATTGATGGAACAAATTGATAAAAGCGCCTTCAAATTCAGGTCCCCAGCCGCTGTTAATAGTTGCGAGACTAAAAGCTTTCCAAACGATGTTTTCACTGCATGCGCAAACCAAATTAAGGAATCAAATAGCCGAAATCACATAATAGTAATACAAAAGGTTATAACAAAATTTGTTAGAATATCGGCCTCCTACCAGATATTGGTGGCTATGAAGAGGGAGATCGCAGATCCAAGTCCATATCCCTTCAGGAGGAGCTCATCCAGGTACATCACGACAATGCTAGCGGAGCAAAGTTGAAATATAATGAGAATGGAATTCCCAACACCGAGTTGATCGGCACTACCATACGCCCCAGATAGGATATAGACAAGAGCTTCACCAATAGCGATGAATATACCCAATAGCTTTTGTGCCCCGTTCCTGAAAAAAAAAAAAAAAAAAAAAAAAAAAAAAAAAAAACAAAAAAAAAATCAGGCACTCAGCTTTCAGCAAATACTAAGATAATAACATGTACGTTATTAACAACTTAAACGGGATAAAAACAACCGGAAAAGAGGCAATTGGGAAAAGTCCTAGGCATGGGATACAATGACTCAACCGGGAAAACTACTAAATTCTAATTTTGTTTTGTTACAGTTAAAAGCTCTAAAAACTCACATAAAATCACATATCAGTTCGAATTAAATTAAAAACTTGAATCGATAAACTAAACGAGACCTAACTAAACAATAACAAGAGCAAAGACTTACAAGAGTGCCCGATCCTCACGCACACTGTTGTCGACCTTAATGATCTTCGCACCCGCCAAGAGTTGCATCACCATCCCAGAAGTGACAATGGGGGTGATGCCAAGCTCCATCACTGTCCCACGGCTAGACGCAAGGATGACCCGCATCCAATAAAACGGATCAGCACCTGTTGTGGAGTGTATCCCATAAAGGGGAAGCTGACTGCACACCAGAAAGATGAAGAGCG